ATATTCCGACGACTATGGCGGCGGAAGACGGCGACCCCACCAAATTCGCTGCTATCTACGACTCATCCTCTCCGTCGCATCCTCTTCTCTCAAAACCCTCCACGTCTGCTCTCGATTCTCCGCGTCGAAGTGATCCCGAATCCGACCCGACCCAGTTTCTCCAGATCTCGTACAACTTTGGTCCCAGACCTTTCAAAGACATCACTTTTCTTCTTCTCTTTGATCTCTTCGTCTTCTCCACATTTGGGTTCGGAATCTTCTCGATTTTCCATAGGAATAGCGATTACGGGAGCTCCTCTTCCTTCACTTATGATTTCACATCTAGCTCCTGCGTTAAAAATTCAACCTTTACTAGAGTTCCGAATAGGTACTGGGCTTCTTCGAGTGTCATGTACGGTATGGTTTCATCGTCTGACTCAGTCTTTGAGAAGGATTTGATCTGGACTCTTGTTGTTACGCTGATTTTAAGCGTGCCCTTTTGTTTTATGGTCTTGCTTTTGCTCAAACACTACACTAAGCAGATAGTTTATGCTTGTTTACCTCTCTTTGTCGTATTTCCAATCTTTTTCAATGTCTATTGGTTCGTAGCTTGTACTGTTAGCTCTTCTTGTAGTGATGCACTCCCTTTAGCTTACAGAATCCTTGTCCTAGTCTTCGTTTTCTTGATCATCGGGATTATTGTCTGGATCATAGTAGCAAATTGGCACCGAATTGAGCTCACTATTCAGATCATCGGTGTTGCTTCTGATGCTTTGACTAAAAACTTGAAGCTTTTTGTTGTCTTGCCGCTGCTTATATTCGGGTTAGTGGTGTACTATGCGCCGATTGTGGTGTTCTTGGTGTTTGCAAGGTTTAATGGGAAGTTTGTGCCACGAGAGTTGGATGGTGAATACTTTTGTGAATGGAAGGAAGATTCTTGGGTTCCTGCGTATTACGCGCTTGCCATTTTAACTATGATTTGGTCTCTTGCTGTAATGGTGGAAATGCAAGTGTATGTGATAAGTGGAGCTATTTCTCAGTGGTATTTCTCCAAGGAAGACTCAATGCCTAAAAAATGCATCCGGAGTTCTTTAAGGTGATTCACCGCAACATCTTTTCTCTTATAGTCTGGTTTCCTTGATTTTACTGTGCAGTGTTTTCTTACAATCAATGGTACCCTTAGCTCGAATACAAGCTTGTGTGATAGTGATCTTGAATTGCTATGTCCACTTTAGGACCATTTCTTGCCGTTTTTGTTTCAGATTTGAATGTAGGGAGGTCTTCGTTTAAGGTCTCGTAGATGTGTTTCCTCCTAAAGTGTACACTTTATCTTGATCCTTACATGCAAAGTATCTCTTGCTGGGCTTGTTCTTGAGTATTCTGTGAAGACATGGTATTCTTAGTCTAAGCAGATTCTATTAAAAGACTTTAGTTTCGAGGATCCAATTCCGTACTAGTCTTTTGAATTTGTTGTGGTTTCTATTAAACCATATGTGGCTCTTACTCTTTTTCATGTCTCTATCTCTACAGGAACGCATTTGGTCAATCCTTTGGCACAATATGTCTTTCAGGACTTCTCATCTGCATTGTTCGTGTGGTCCGAGCCATCGTGGACAATGCAAGAGAAGAGAACACACAAGGCATAGTGAACTTGGTTCTCCGTTGCTGCGCAAACACCTTACTTGGAGCTATTGACTATCTCAATAAGTTCACCATCAACTTTGCTGCAATAACAGGCGAAGCCTATTGCACCTCTGCCAGAATGACTTACGAGCTCTTGAGACGCAACCTACTCTCAGCTGTTTTTGTCGAAACAGTTTCCACCAGAATCTTAACCGGAATTGTCTTTGTCCTCTCAGCCGCATATGCAGTCGCGGTAAGTATAAACTTGTGTTTTTCACCAACCAAACCTTTCATTGTATTAGTTACTAATTTTGGCTTTGATGATACGCAAAAAAACAGACATGGGCAGTTCTGAGAGGAGTGAGCAACTTGGGTATAGATTCGTACTTGGTGGCTATACTCGCGTGGCTCTTACTGATAGTGATCTTGGCTTTCTTTGTACATGTTCTTGACAATGTGATCGACACAATCTATGTTTGTTACGCCATTGATCGAGACAAAGGGGATGTTTGTAAGCAGGAAGTTCACGAAGTTTATGTTCACTTACCTATCAGCAGAAGCACAAGATCGTCTCTCATTCCAAATGCTCTTAATGCATAGGAGAACATGATTCCATGTCTCTGCTTGTTGTATTCGTTTTTGTTTTACATTCGTTTTTTCACCATTGTAAATTCCTGAGTAGAGTGAATCTGGTGAATTGTGGTTTGTCTTCTTGGGGTTTATATTGACGTTTTGTAGAGTTGTGGGGTAATTTTGAATAAAAGAGTTTAGTTTTTAGGAATTACTGTAAGGGGGGCTAAGTTGTATCCATCGAATCATTGTGGCTAAAATGGAATAAACATAAAATATAAGGGTCTTAAAGGGGAAAGTAAAAAAATTAAGGGCTATTTAAGAAGCACATGTACTTATCGGTGTAAATCTCAGAAGTCCTGACTTTCTCTCTACGACAAATTTTGAAGGCTCTCTCTACTTTTCGAAAAGATGGTTCTCGAGGTGAGTTTTTCGAATTGAATCTGCTTCGTGATTTGAGAGTATTTCGATCTCTTCTTCGATCTTCGTGTTTGATGCTGATTTATCACTTTGTTCGATGTTTTTTCCTGTGCGTAGGCGACTATGATTTGCATAGATAACTCCGAGTGGATGCGAAACGGAGATTACTCTCCGTCTAGGTTACAGGCGCAAACGGAAGCTGTTAATCTTCTATGTGGTGCGAAAACCCAGGTAAAATTGAGACCTACGAGTTTTCTCTGGATTCGATTAGGGTTTTTTGGGTTTGCGTCAGATTTAGGGATCTTTCTTTTGCAATTGCAGTCGAATCCGGAGAACACGGTGGGGATTTTGACAATGGCAGGGAAAGGAGTTCGAGTTTTGACTACGCCTACCTCTGATCTTGGCAAAATTTTGGCCTGTATGCACGGTATGTCTCAGGGAACTTTAGGATTCTTTGTAATTAGTCCTTTTAGCTGTCTGCTTAGTGCAATTGGACATTCGTGTAGTTTTGCTGTAGTCAAGGTTCTGTTTTTTAAGGAATCATAGAGTTTGATTGGTTTTGGGATCAATTTGCTACTTGCTCCTTTTTTTCAGGCCTTGATGTGGGAGGAGAGATTAACTTAACAGCAGCAATCCAGATTGCTCAGCTAGCTCTTAAGCATCGGCAAAACAAGAATCAACGCCAAAGGATTATTGTTTTTGCTGGAAGGTACTGAATTTCTTGTGTGCATAGTGTTTCTGTATAGTTATCTGATGTTTGTGTTGTGTTTCTGGTTTTTAGTCCAATCAAGTACGAAAAGAAGGCCCTAGAGATAGTTGGGAAAAGGCTGAAAAAGAATAGTGTCTCTCTTGACATTGTCAATTTTGGGGAAGATGATGATGAGGAAAAGCCTCAGAAACTGGAGGCCCTCCTTACAGCTGTGAATAACAATGACGGTAGCCACATTGTTCATGTTCCTTCCGGAGCCAATGCTCTCTCGGATGTACTGCTCAGGTACAGTCTGTTTTCTTCTTTGATTGAACCTTTTTAGTTTATGTAGACTGTAAATGGAACAATTATTCAGGTTGAAAAGGGCTTTGCATGTAGTTTGGGATGTTTAGGTCTTTTGGGCTTTGAAGTCTTGCTTTTAACCAATGCTGCAAACTTTGGCTGTTACACCATCCAATTAAAAAACACTGATTTGATATGTTATCTAGACAGGTTTAGTTACCACAGTACCTGTGATTTGATTGTGTTTTAACTCTTAAATTTTCTTCCAGCACACCGGTATTCACTGGTGATGAGGGTGCAAGTGGGTATGTTTCTGCTGCGGCCGCTGCAGCGGCAGCAGGTGGGGACTTTGACTTTGGTGTGGATCCAAATATCGATCCGGAGCTTGCTCTTGCCCTTCGGGTCTCCATGGAGGAGGAGAGAGCAAGGCAAGAGGCTGCTGCTAAGAAGGCAGCCGATGAGGCAGGTCAGAAAGGCAAAGATGGGGACACAGCATCTGGCTCACAGGAGACAGTTGCTAGAACAACTGAGAAGAACGCTGAACCAATGGTCAGTTGTTACTCATTTCGTGTGCTGTTATGTTTCTATATTGGGTATAGCATTCTATAATAGCTACAGGCAGAGATTGTTTATCATACAACCTTTTTACAATCAAAACTTTGGTGGCAGGATGAGGACAATGCATTGCTAAATCAGGCAATTGCTATGTCTGTAGGAGATGTTAACATGTCGGAAGCGGCTGATGAGGACCAGGATCTGGCTTTAGGTGAGTACACCTGTGTGGTAATCACATATTTAAGGCTATAAAAAAATCGGGTTTTGCTTGTAAATGGAACATTCAGAAAATAAATTTGGTACCACCTTTGGGTGTTTTGATGAAGACAGACCCTTATATTTTGTCTTGATCCATGTGCAGCTTTGCAAATGTCAATGAATGCGGAAGAGTCCAGTGAAGCTACAGGTGCTGGAAACCTCTTAGGAGATCAAGCTTTCATAACGTCTGTTCTCTCATCGGTAAGCTTTACTTACAATCAAAATCAGGATTTCTGTAGTAAGCAAAATGAAAGTGAATTAGTGGTGCTAGTTTGGTATTTACTGTTTGTGATCGTGCAGCTTCCAGGGGTGGATCCAAATGATCCAGCGGTTAGAGAGCTGCTAGCGTCTATGCCAGACGAATCAAAGGTGCGTCTTTGTTGGTTTTTACGACTTTTATTATTCGGTAAAGAAGGATTCTGATAAAGTATTCGGATCAAATGGCAGCGTAACGAAGAGGAAGAGAGTAGTAGCAAAGGTGGAGATGAGAAGAAGTGAAGGAGACATTTCCTCATGGCTCTCAATAAAAGTTCTCTTGTTTTACTTTGGTTTGATACTGATGAAGAAACTCTTTGTATTGATCTCTCTGCCTTGTGACCTTTGTTCTCTCTCGCTTTTATTTTAAATGTCAGTGTACGAGTCGCGACCAGCTTCCTTCTTAGTTGCGTTGGGCTTTGGGTCAATGGGCTCTTAGAAAGTGAACTTAACGGTGTTGAAATGAGTCGTAAATTCGTGATGGTCACTAATAAGAGGGTCCATCTTTGAAGAAGTGTTGTGAATAATTGGAGAGAAGAGAGAACATGAGTGGTGAATCTTATTCCAAAACGAAAGAAAATATACATAGAGATGCAAGATAGGATTTTAGTTTGGCCATCGAGTCATCTAGAACATTTCCAATAATTTTTTTTTTTTTTTTGGTTGAAAGAACATTTCCAATACTAAAATGAGTTTATAATAGATATCATCGTTTTTATTTTATTAAAAAGAATGTCTTAACAGTTGATGCAGATTTATTATCATTGATGCAAATTAATGGAGACAAGCTTACATGAAGTCTTTAGCGTGGGACAAGATATAA